TTGAAGGATCCTATGGGCAAAATATTGAACAATGGAGAAGCCATCAAAATACGATAAAAGAAAACACAAGAGTCACTGAACTAAAAAAAAAAAAAAAAAAAAAAAGGTCAACGTTCAACCATTTCAAAAGGAAATATATGATCAAGAACCTACAGTACTGAAAGAAGTGCATGCTGCACTGAAGGTACTGGTGGAAAGCGAGGCTCCAAGAATTGATGGAATACCAATTGAGATGTTTTAACAAATGGACACAAGGCTGGGAATGCTCACTCATCTATGCCAAGAAATTTGGAAGTCGGCTGATTCGAAGAGATTCAAACTTGTGCCCATTCCTAAGAAGGTGATTCAACAGAACATGAAATCACTGACCAATAATAACATCACATACAGTAAAATAATTCTGAAGCTATTTCTTAGTTACAGCAGTTCATCAACAAAGAACTAGAAATTCATAAAGAATACCAGAAAGATGTTCACTTGTGTTTTATTGACAATACAAAAGCATTCAATTGTGGGTCATAACAAATCATGTAAAATATAGTGAAAAATGTGAATTCTAGAACACTTCATTGTGCTCATGTGGAACCTATTCATACAAGGGGCTTCAAAAAATTTGTGAAAAATAAGAATGAAAAGATAATGGAATTTTTATAAAGATTTTTTTTGAAGCTCCCTTGTAGACTAAGAGGCAGCTGTTCAAACACAACAAGGGGACACTGCCTGGTTTAAAAGTAGGAAAGGTGTGCATCCAGAATTGTGTCCTTTCACTATACTTACTCAAGCTGTATGATGAGCAAATAATTTGAGAAGCTACACTATGAAGAAGAATGCAGGCAGCATCATAAGGTTCGCTAACGACCTGTGATGTGTAGGTAACACAGCCTTGCTTGCTGAAGAGGACTTAAAGCAGTTACCAGTGAATATCACAGACTGCAATATTCAGTGTAGATTACACCTCAATATAAAGAAAACAAAAATCCTCACAAATGGACAAGTAAGCAGTACCATGACAAATGGAGAAAATACTGAAGTTGTTAAGGGGTCCACAAATCAATGCCCATGGAAGTAACAGCCAAAAATTCAAACAAGGTACTGCATTGGTCAAATTTGCTGTAAAAGACCTCTTTCAAGTGTTAAAAACTAGGGATGATACTTGGGGAGCAAAGTATACCTGACCCAAGCCATGGTATTTTCAATCATATGCTTAAACAAAGTTGCACAATCAATTAGGAAGACTGAAGAACAGAGGCCTGAGAATCATAGTGCTGGCAAAGGATACTGAATATACCATGGGTTTCGAGCAGAATGAACAAATCTGTCTTGGAAGGATGGTAGGACCCTGTATCAAGAAGAACCAGTTTCTAGAGAAGAAAGTAGAGTATCAGTGAAAAAGAGGAAGACCCACAATGAAATGAACTGACATAGTAGCTGTGCAACAAGTGGGTTCAAACACAGCCACAATTGTGAGGATGGTTCATGACAGGGCAGTATTTCATTCTATTCTACACAGAACTGCTCTAAGTTATAACACACACGATGGCACGTAACAATCATGAGGCAGTTAACTCAAAATTCATTCTCTACATGGAAAAAAACCACCAAATGAATTGAGATGTTAAGGATATTAACAATAGAACTCACTTTCTTCTGTAATCACTGTAAAATAAATTTGCCATTAAGCTCTATCCATACACAAAGGCACTGTTGGATAAGCATTGGACTGAAAGGCTGGTTTGACTCTAAGGTCAGCAATTAAAACTCACCAGCTGCTCCTTGGAAACCCTACAAAGGGTTGCTATGAGTCAGAACCAACTCAACGGCACTTAACAACAACATACACAAAGAATTAGTAACCAGCGTTTAATAGTCCTACTGGTGTGGTGCTTTAGGATGAGCAATGGACAGCAAGGTCAGTTTGAACTGCAAGGTCAGCAGTTCAAACTCACCAGCTGCTCCTAAGAAACCCTATACAGGGTTGTTATGAATAAAAACGGACTCAACAGTACTTAACAACAATTGTTAACCCTAAGCAGATAACCAAAGACAAGGAAAGACTCCAAGAAGAAAGTAAGAAATAGAAACAAGGGGGGGAAAGGCTAGCAAAGAAAAAAAGGTTAAAAAACAAAAAACTTTATATTTGTATTCTCAGAAAAATCTTAAAAGCATATGCAAAATCTTTATAAAAAATAAAACCGGAACACAGCAATTAGAAAAAAACCATAGAATAAAAAAAAAAAAAAATGCTTTCAAAAGGTACAAATAGGACTTTAAAAATGGAAGTTTAAAGCTATAACAGAGAAAATACTGAAGAAAGAACAAAAACATGCTCCATTCCTGACATCTCCATGACTTTCTCTGAACAGATACTTTCCCAGAAGTTCATCCTTTTGAAAGCAGATAAAAGGTTCCCTTATAAGTTTTAAGCTATGCTGTTGTTAAGTGCCATCTAATCGGTTCGGACCCAGTCACCCGATATAGGGTTTCTGAGGAGTGACTAGGTGAGCTTGAACCACCAACTTTGTGGTTCAAAGAGACTTTGCAATCCAGCACATTAACTCAGTGCCATACCAGCTAGGCTTTGTTGTTGCTGTTGTTAAGTTCTGAGTCGGTTCCAATCCATAGTGACCCTGTAAAGGGTTTCCAAGAAGCAGCTGGTGAGCTTGAACCGCCAACTTTACAATTCAAAGCAACTTTGCAGTCCAGCACCACATTGAAATTTTAGTAAAACAATAAATTATCAAAAATAATCTATCTTCATTTCTAGACATTTATAGCTGTAAATGAAGACTGTATCAGAACAGATTAAAACTCAGCAATAATGATGTAAACAAGATGAAAAGGTCTATAGTTCAGACTTTGTCTCAGTATTTCCAATCATGCACTAAAGTACATATGCAATTTCTACAGAAACGTCATCAGTGATTTCTTAGAATGAAAGGTCTACTTCCAAGTTAAAAAACAAACAAAACCAGAATAAATTTCTTAGAATTTAATCTCTGCTATTAAAGTAACTAGGAGTCCTGGTATGGAACTGTAGTATAAGCAATGGACTGTTAACTGCAAGGTAAGTGAGTCAAACCTACCATCTCCTCCTTGAAAACTCTATACAGGGTCACTATGAGTTTGTGCAGACTCAGCAGTATTTAACAACATTAAGATACCTAAATGCAATTTTAAAATTACCCTGTTTTTAAAAAAGCTACAGCCAGCCAGGTACAAAGACCATAATGTTTATCTTATGAGAGGTTTCAAGAAGAATTTTCCAGTTGTCCTCTATGCATAGGTTCCCTCATATATCAAGATAAGAAACAGAAAGTGAGGGGGGTCTTGCACAATTCCCACATGAAAATCTGTTCCACAAATCCAACCTGAAAACAAAAGTTAGGACACATTACATAATCAAAATTTCAATATAAAAATCTTACACATTTATCGTTCCTCTCTAAAATATCTTGCTTTTGTTTGCATTTTTGAGATGTCTCCTTAATATCCATTGCCTGTAAGATTGAACCAGAAGGGAAAAAAGTTAAATACTTAAAGCAGGCCAATTATGTAGCACTGTTTATTTAAACATTAAAATTGTATGCTCAAATTCACAAATGCTTTGCCATCATTTCTTTCAAACCAAGTTAACAATTATCAGAAAAATAAGTTATTTACAAATCTATAAAAACCTATTCTTTCTAGTTTTAAAAATAGCTGCAGTAATATGCATTTTCTTATTTCTTCACATTTACTTTCACATTTTATTTAATCTGATCCTCAAAACCATTCCAAAAACAGTTGGGATAGCTGTATTTCTACCTTTCTATATATGAAGAAAATAAGTCTGAGAGAGGCCTATACACATAGCTAAAACCCAGAGTACTAATACTCAAAATCAGGTCTTATTTTAAATCTAGAGTTTTTCTACTATACAAAGTATGCAAACACTGTAATAACATTACCACACAAAGTCCAAACTGCTTATTATTAACTAAAAAAATATGTAGCCCAAATGATTAGCAAACAGGCCTATACAGAAAAGGGTTATTGCAGGACTAAGGCTGCTACTCCTTTTCTACGGTTATTGTCTGGGAACTTGGCTTGTGGGTGTGTTCCCACCATCCCTAAATGATGACTGTGGCTCACTGTACCTAAACGTTTTGTATAAACAACATGTCTTATGCTGAACATTTGCTTTCTTTCTCGAAGTCTGAGTTTCTAATGAACTTCCCTGACAAACTGTTCACATGTGTTGTTGTGAGATGATAAGAGAAAGACGAAGAGAGAGGACCCGAGAGAAACTTGTCTGATTTCCTCCAAATTCGCTCCAGGTGCCCTTTTCTTTTACTGATTTTACTTTGTATCTGTTTGCTGTTATAAACCTCAAGTATGAGTGCAAGCAATATACAAGTCCCATGAGTCTTCCTAGAAAATCCCCTCAAAAACTGGGAGGGAGTGGTCTTGAGGACCCCAAACACCAAGGGCAAACAAGAGTAGGAGAGAGAAGCAGGAGTTCCCATTGTGGAGGCAAATGTGGAGGCAAATTTTTACTGCTTATAATATAAACACTCTGCTAGTTATATGCATATGCAAAATTACACATTAATCATGGAGGATAAAGATTACTACCCTCACCTTACTAATGAGGAGAGTGATGCTCAGTGAGAGCAAGTAATTTGCTGATGGTTAGTAAATGGCAGAAAGGGGATCTAGAATATAGATCTGTGAATCCAAAAGCTATGACCTTCCCAGTAGTATATCACTTTCCTGGAATCTTAAAAAAGATGACATATTGAAAAGGTTTCCCGTTGGAATACAAAGACTAGGAACAAGAAGAGTACAAATACTAAACAAAACGAATAGTTTTGTTCCTTGTTGCACAGCTATGATGACCAATACCATTTGCAATATAGATGGATATAATGCAGCACTTTAAGACTACCTGTTCAGAGAAACACTTACGAAATATCTTAGGCTATGTATATTTTCACATAAACAGATTAGGCTCATGGACATCTGACAATGCTTTAATAGCCAGAACCAGAGTCAAAAGTACCAACTTCCTCTGATCTATTCCATATATCCTAATCTATTGCAGGATATGGCTTTTCTCACTCAGAAAGCTTTGTACATTAACCATACTGATGTAATATCTGATGCTATCAAGCTCAAGAAATGTTTTTATTTTTTTATTCTACAGTCTGCTTAAACAAACACACAATCGTATCTCTAGATAAAACAGCTCCAGATAACAGTTAAAAAAAAAAAAAAGCCAAACACCCAACTAAAAAATCTGTATTAATCAAAACCTGAGTACCGAATGGTCTTTTTACGATGGAGAAACTTAAAAACAGTAGAAGAAAATGCAGTAGCATGTTCACACTACTACATCAAACAGAAATTTTAAATTTTAAATAAGTATAATAATAATGATAACACTGCAAAGTTTAGTTGTTTCTCTCCTATAGTCAGGTAAATCTGGATGTAAAATACTGTATATCAAAAAAAACACTATCCACTAAATGACCTTTAAATACCGGAAATTCTGCTTTCCACTATTATTCCTCGCTAACAGAAGTACCAAATGAAATTCTCCTTTTATAATCAATGAAAGTCACCTTCAAATAGTGACCAAGATCACAGGTATAGAAACAGTTGCCTGGTTTCCTAAAACTAATCTTCACAAAGAAAGAAACCCATAAGTGTCATTAACAAAGTGTTGTACTTGTTTGAGTTAGTTGACCAATTTCTTTAAGAGGTTCTCGACTAAAGGTCAAGGATTTGACTATAGTGTGTCTGTGAATCTCCAAAGCCTCAAAATTTGGCTCTGTCTTTATGTGTTATATTGTAAGCAGGGACCATAGTTTAAATCATTCTGAAAATAATCTCTGACTTTATCTTCCCTAAAGGTTAAAAGCATGACCATAAAAATTTTAGTTATAATTTCAAATACAGAGAACATTCCATTATGCTATTTTAAGAAATATCGGATTTTTTTTTAATATAATCTTCCTCCAAAGGGTGTGTAGTTATAAAACTGATGTAATGAAGTCACAAAAGGAGCCCAACTTTTCTAGAATACCATTGTGAATCTTCTTGAAATTAAAACAATTGCAGCACATTTTTGTCTTTTGATATCCTGGAATACTAAGCAGTAACGCTCCAGCCATACTGATTAGGACCCTGAAACTCCTATGTTGGTATAATTCCTGATTAAAGAAACTTAAAACGACCAAAGCTATGAACAAAAACTGTACTATATTTTGAGGCATCTATAAAATACTCTTTGTATTTGCTAAGATAAAATACAGCAGTCTAAAACTGGGTAGAAGTACCTTCTCTCTGATTTGGGCTTCAAAAACATGACGCTGTCTGTCAATTTCATCAATTCGATGTTTTATAGGATTCTGCCCTTCTTTAAGTTTTCTGACTTCTTCCTTCACTTGGTCACGAGCTTGCTTTACTTCTTCATATTCTTGACGAACATTTTCATATTCCTTATAGATAATTCAAGAAATAGAACTTAATATGTATTATTAGCCTAAATTAACAATATACTAAAACCACAGTGTAGTCACAAACAAAATAAAAGAGTGTTCATCTCCCACTAACAGGTTTACTAATAAAAACTGTGCCCTATGAGTCAGTCTCAGAAACAGGAAAATACCAATGTAATGATTTAGTGAAAGTTTTAAACTGAGCATTTAACTCTGTTACGCCATACTCTTCTAACTTCTATCCTCTTCCTTTACTGAAGACTTTAAAAATGAGATTTTCCTCTAATCTCTCAATTTAAAAAAAGGTGTACAGAAATGCATAAAGAAGCAAAACAAAACAATAAAAAACCCTCAGCTATGAAAACAAAAAGTACACACACATACACACACAAAATACAAGGAAAAAAGGAGACTGAGTCAAAAAGAAAGCATGTAGAAATGAGTAAAGATTAAAAACAATTTTAGCAAGAAAATGGAAAATAATACACTTCAAAAGAAGACAAAATAAAAAGAATAAGCAATGGTTGACATAAGAAAGAAGGAAAGGGACTTCTGGAAAGATGGCAGACTAGGCAGACACACTACACAGAGACTCTACAACAAAGGTAAGAGAGACAAAACAAAACAGATGAAGATGACAATGCTGGCACCCTGAACTTCAAGATAAGGTTAGAGAGGAGGGAGTGCTTGCTGGGAGAAGAGGCCGAGTAGGGACGGCAAGAGAGGGAGACTGACTTATGATGGCTGGTCAGATGCAGCTCGATTCTTGCAGGTAAGGAAAGGTGTGATTTCTTCTTATGCCCTACTCTCTAGAGGTGTGGTCAGCTCCCACCCTCATCTATTCCCAGCATACACCCTGCTCTCCAGGAGCTCAGAGTCACATAGTTAGGAGCCACACCAGTGTGAGTTGGGATGTGGCTGCACCACTCTGGTGTGCCACTTTGGTGCCTGCATTCAGGTGGGCTCAACTCCAGACCTACAAAACCCACAGAGCCACCAGACCAGTACTGAACCAGTCACCCTGCCCATAGCTGACTACAGACACTGAAACCAGGTCCATTACGGGCCCTCACTAAATACTTCCAAAATGACTGCCCTGAACACAGGTAACACGGAGTCCAACAGAAACTTCATCTAGGGCCAGGAACTCTGCTGTCATATCCCTTCCACAATCCCTTCACAACTCTGCTAACTAAATTGAAGGAGACTTCTCCCATCTGGGTCCAACAATTACACTGTACGTTTTCACAAACACAACAACCCCACAATGTCCTGGAGACAACAGACAATTTTAGCTCACATGAAGAAACAAGAGAGAATGGCTCAAACAAATGATCAAGACGCAGAGGCAGAAAACATTTCTGAGGAAAAAAAGGTAATGGAGCTTACTGAAAAAGAATTCAAAAGAATTATACTTTGATGCCTTTAAAGACTGCCAGATCAAGTAAAGCACGGAAAAAACTAAAAACTTTAGAAGAATTCAGGAAAATGCTACAAGAACCAACAGACAAAATAAATGCACATTCTGAAACAATATAAAACCTGAAATTAAAAATCTAGAAGATTAATACTAAGATTTCAGAAATGGATAATATAGTGAAAGGGCAAAGGAGAAGATTCAGAGCAATGGAAGCCCGAATTTATGAATCTGAAGATAAACCTTTCAACTGTTGTTGTTAGATGCCATCGAGTTGATACTCACTCATAGTGATCTTATGCACAAAAGAATGAAACACTGCCTGGTCCTGGGCCAAACTCACAACTGTTGCCACACTTGAGCCCATTGATGCTGCCACTTCGCCAATCCATCTTACAAGGGTCTTCCTCTTTTTCTCTGACCCTCCACCCAACCAAACATGATATCCTTCTCCAGCGAATGGCCCTTCTGACAACATGTCCGAAGTATGAGTGATGAAGTTTGGCCATCCTGGCCTCCAAGAAGCACTCTGGCTGTACCTCTTCCAACACAGATCTGGTGGTTCTTTTGACAGTCCATGGCACTTTCAATAATCTCCTCCAACACCACAACTCAAAAGTATCAATTCTTCTACGGTCTTCCTTATTCACTGCCTAGCTTTTGTATGCAAATGAGGTTACTGAAAATACCATGGCTTGGGTCAGGCGCACATTAGTCCTCAAGCTTACATCTTTGCTCTTCAACACTTTAAAAAGGTCTTTGCAGCAGATTTGCCTAATGCAATATGTCATTTGAGTTTTTGGCTGCTACTTCCATGAGTGTTGATAGTTGCGCCAAGAACAACAAAGTCCTTGACAACTTCAATCTTTTCTCCGTTGGTAAGAACGTTGTTTATTGGTCCAATGGTGAAGATTTTTGTTTTCTTTACACTGAGATGCAATCCATACCTAAGGCTGTGGTCTTTGATCTTCATCAGTACATAATTTTTAAGTCTCTCAATACTCGTATGCTAAAAAGAACAATAAAAAAAATCCAAAGAAAGCCAAGAGTTATCTGGGACACAATGAAGAGGAACAACTTATGGGTGACTGGAATTTCAGAAAAGAAGAGAAAATAAAAAGCACAAAGAAAACTGTATAAGAGTTGTTCAAAGAAAACTTCCCTAACATCATGAATGACAAGAAGCTAAGTCTACAAGAAGCTAAGCCTATAAGAAGCTGAACTAACTCGAAATAGGAGAGGTCACAAAAGAAAATCACCAAGACATATAATCAAACTTCCCAAAATCAAAAACAAGGAAAGAATCCTGAAAGCACTCTGGGAAAAACGAAAGATACCTACCAAGGAGAAGCAGTAAGAATAATCTCTGATTTCTCAGTAGAAACCATTCAGGCAAGAAGACAATGAGATAACATGTACAAAAAGTTGGAAGAAAAAAAAGTGCCAACCAAGAATCATATACTCAGCAAAGCTGTCCCTCATATATTACGGCAAATTAAGGTTATTTCCTGTTAAAAAGAAATGAAAGGAATGTGTAGTGACTAGACTAACTTTACAAGGAGCTCTAGTAGTATAGTGGTTACGAATCGGGCTGCAACCTGCAAGGTCAGCAGTTAGAAACTACCAGCTGTTCCGCAGGTGAAAGATGAGGTGTTCTGCTCCCGTACAGATTTACAGCCTTGGAAACCCTGTACAGGGTCACTATGAATCAGAACCGACTCCATGGCAAACAGCAGCAGCAGACTAATTTTACAAAAAATGCTAAAGGGTCTTCTTTGGACTGAGAACCAACAACAGCAGACAGCAATCTGAGATTATCATACATGACAACACCACTCAGAACTATATCCAGGTGTAGAATTATGTAAAACAAACCTACACAACTTAAAATAGGGAAGCAGAGATATCAATGTATGTATGTATAATGAAATCAACTGTGAAGTAATAATGTAGATACAGAACTTCCAAAGGGCAGGGAAGTCAAGACTGTTTTAAGCAGGGAAAATTTAATAAATTACAGGGTAGCCTCAAACAAAAAGAATACACCTGGACATGAAAATATAAAAGGAAAATCAGAAATGTTTAGTAAACATTAACACAACAGAAATAAAAATGAAAAGAAAATCCATAAAATGAACTTAGCATAAAAAATTATGTGGAACAAAGAATCCAGCAACATCACAAAAATACACAGAAAAATGACAGCAAACAATTCATACCCTACTGATAATTACACTGAATGTAACTGGATTAAGTGTACCCATCAAGTGACATAAAGAACAGAATGGATAAGGAAAAAAGATCCTTCGATATGCTTGCTATCTTCTAGAGACATACCAAAAAGATGAAGACAGCCTAAAAAGTCATCAGCAGAATGATTAAACATACACTGGTATGCACATACAATGGAATACTACAAAATACTGAAGAATAAAGATGCATCTGTGAAACACCTCACAACTTGGTTGAACCTAGAGGATAATTACATTGATTGAAATTAATCAATCATAAAAGGACAAATATTGTATGAGACCAATGTTGTAAAAAGTTTTAAAAGAAGTTTTTCTTGATAAAAGAAACTATGTATGATGGTTACAGGGTCAGGGGGAGGCAAAATTATTTACGGGCTAAAGGGTAGGCACATGTTAACACGGGTGACAAAGCAGGCAATATACAAGAGGGAGGTTAACAGAGGAAAGATGAAGGTAGTGCGAGGCACAGGTTATGCAATAGTTAAAACGAACAGAGACAAATACTATTAACTGTTGATAAAAGGAAGGGATTGTAACCATGTGGCACTGTGAATGCGCTGGACTGCAAGGTTGGCGGTTCAAGCTCAATAGCTGCTCCTCAGAAACTCTATACAGGGTCGCTATGAGTCAGAACTGACTCAACAGCACTTAATAACAACAATAAGGCAAAGTATATGATTTGTTGAATGTAAAACTAATGATTTGCTCTGTAAACGTTCACTCAATTCATAATAAAAAGGGGGGAGAGGGGGGAATGAAAAAATGCAACCAAAAGGAGATAAAAAATATAAATTTTGAGATTAATGGAATTATGGGAGTCAGAGAGGGTAAGAGAGAAGGCCATATATACAGCCATATATTTTTCCAATCTAATGATAATTATTTCCATTCTAACCTTAGAACAAAAGTTATAAAATTTTCTCAACTACTTTGTTCCACATTTTAAAAATAATGTATTGGAGAAGAAATGGAAACTTTAGCCTAAATTGTGGTTTAACTAATAAAAGAGTGATTAAAAAATAAACAGTATCCTTAGTAAATTTAATAAACATATGTAGCATAAGACGGAAGTTAAATACCTCAACTATATCTGTAGCTAAAGCTGCTATAATCTCAACTTCCTGACTCAGAACACCGATTTAATTTTTATATCTGTAAACATTTTAGGGGATTACTAGGAATCTGTAGGATAATCAATGGACTGCAAACCACAAGGCTGATGGTTCAAGGCCACGTACTATTCCTCAGGAGAAAGTAAGACTTTATGCTCCCGTAAAGATTACAGTCTTGGAAACCCTATACAGAGTAACTATGAGTCAGAACCGACTTGA